GTACAGTTTAATAACATTAAAAGTATATACGTCACGTGTTTTACACGTTCATAGTCAAAATCGCAGTCCGAATTTTTTCTGCTGTGGTTAAAATTTGAAAATGCATTCTATAAATTTGGAAATATATTCAAAGAAGTAATATTTTTGTAATTGCAGAGAAGCTGTAAACGAATTTTCGCGTAGAAAACAATTATACGAAACACATAAACAGTACCGTATGTGCTGTCCGACGAACATGGAATCATATGCAGTTACGTGTTCGGGAATTTTCATTGATGGCTAATCAATAGTAAAATATTTTAATGAATCGTGTATACAAAGCTAAAAACATAAGTATGGAGGATTTAGGAGTTGGGTATTCCAATGTAGGTCATTATTTTACATAGAAAGGAATGTTTATTAAATTTATAAAATTTGGATAAGCCGTAGTTGTAATATTAATTTGTTTACAAAAACAAAATGAAGGAGGGGTATATAACCAAACCTCCCTCGTCCATAGCGCGTCACTAATTCCATGTATGTTGTATTTATACACGTGACGGAAACTGCAGTCTGTTTGATGTTCGTCAATAATCCAACATAGTATTGGATATAAATAAGCTATTACATTTACTTTGGGACACGACCGCATTTACAATCGAATGCAGCTATATATACTTGTGTACTGAAGATATAATATTCCCCCGATAAAAATATATTAAGGTACTATTAAATAAAATATTAGGTACACAGGGGGCCACGAAAACATACATAAACTTACTACTTATATGTTTAAAAATGCACAATATTTAGGGTACCTACATAAAAATGGTTTTTATTTTGAATCTTATTAACAAAACGAAACGGGCTACGATACGGGTTTTCTGGATCTTGTCAGTCGTCGCTCTGCGTAATGTATTATATTGTACATCATAATATAATATTGCGTAAACTTTTTCGATGTGTTATAGTTAAATTAGTTAGCAGTTAAATTACTGCTAATGGTTGGTCAATAATGAGCTTTATAAAATTAAAAGAAGAACGCGGTACTAAATATAGTTTATTATTTGGCTACCAAAAACACGTATCAGCATTGAATTTTTCGATTTTTAGCCAGTTGTTTAAGCAACAAACTATGTTTACTTTTTAGAAGTTTTACGTTATTAAGCTTTTATCCAACCATACACTGAAGTAATAGACTGCTTTATTCGATTTGCAGTGTTTATAAAAACTATTCCACGTGTAATGTGTGAGTGAAGAATAGCATTGTTTATTGTTTATAGTTGTAATGGTATGTTGAACGTATTTATGTACACATAAATATATATTTTTTTCAATTAATAAATATACAATCTGTAAAATTTACAACCTTTTTACAATAAGACTATGTGCTACAAATAAATTAGATGAGTTACATGAGAAAACATGTAACTTTTTGGTAAATCTTTATATTTCAATTTTTATTTGTAACACTATATTGTTTGTTTATTTTTATTATTTGTGCTGTTTTTTATTTTTATTTTTTTTTTTGATATTATACAATTTTTAATTTTTTTTAAGAGTTATGAGTTGAGATCATAGACCATTTTTTTTAAGCCTATTTTGAAAATTTCCAGGTATTGATTTTAAATTAAATATTGAAATTAAAGGATTAAATTAAAATACGTTTTAGAGATAATTTTGATATGTAAGTCGGAATGAATTGTTAGTTCGGACATGTAGAAACGAGCTTTAGTTATTATGCATAAAGTGAAGAATTGGAACCTTTGTATTTTATTTAAATTAAATAATATAGTCACACCTCATTACTGGATGCCGTAAGTCCAGATAGGCATGAACAGTTGTATTATATACAAGAAGTTTAGTAGGTTTCGAGTGAATAACCAACAAATAGTGCAGTGATTTCTTTCTGAGGTATAAAACAAAATTTTATTATTAATATGTTCCACTCAGGTAAAAAGTTTTTCTAGAGATGGTCCTAGGTAACGGATGTTTGAGGCTTGTGATATGATTTGATCGTTTAGGTTTATAGACGAAACTTCATCTTCTCTTAGAAAATATGAAATGAAAAATAATTTTTCATTTTGAGTATCAAGAAGAAGAACTGTTTAGGTGGTTTTATACATGGAGTTTAGAAGTATACGAATAATTTTGAGGATTAGAAATAATTTTGTTGTCTGCGATGTCGGTTAATAGAATATATGGTGTATTTGGTTGGTGAGCTGTATACAAGTTAAATAGGTAAATAGGAAATAGTTCCTTGTGAGTTACCAGTTAGAATGGGGATGATTTATAACATCTCGATGACTATTTTTGTGACGCATATGTTATCATAGTTTTTTATTAACTTTTACATGTTGTATAACCATAGAAATATCATTATGTAAATTGAGTACATTACATTATTATTATTTATTATTTTAACGTGGTTTAAATTTACATATTTCAGTAAAAAAAGTAATAATTGTTTACAATGTAATGAAATGATCACATTGTCATAAATTAATAAAAAAAAAATATAGTAAATTCACTTATAATTAACTTGTGCACATCGCCACGAGTTCAAGAGAGAATTTCGTTACATTTTCGCTACATGGTATTGAGTATGCGTGATTAAATTTTTCATTTAAAACCCATAAGTATAAATGCACTTTATATAAAAACCTAAAAATCCTCTATAGGTTTTTAATTTATAATTGATATTTTTAAAATCTTATCACTTTTTGAGTAACATCGGAGCACCTAACGACAGTTCCTATGTGTAGAAATGATATCAAAAACATTTTCGTACATTATCGTATTCAATAATATTATATTCCTAAGGCGGAAATTAAATCCTGACGTCTTTCACGGTTAAAAATAATATCGTAAAAATGATTTCCATTGTAAACCGCGTATTTTGTTTCCTCGTAACATATTCATTCGTTCTTTTACTTGCAAAATTTTGTATCGCAGTACGTTTATACACGTATTTAACCTACACACTTAACAATACAATATTATAAACGCACATAATTATTATACTGGTACTATTAAAATATGCGATTTTATTTGGTTGCGTTTATTTGTGTACACGATCTGGTGCACTTAAATTTAAATATTGGAGTGAAGTATTACAACTGAGATAAATTTTATTACGTATATTGTAGTCGTAAATGAAATATCCATCAAAAACAAATGTTGCGTCAAAGAATTGTGCATGTGTGTGT